ACAGAGGACAGGGGTGTCTCCTGCCAGTGACACAGCTTCATTGGACCTCCGTGCAAGGAAGGAGGGACAGCGTGGGAAAAGTGCCTGTGGGAGGGTAAACAGTGGGGGCCGGAGGATGAACAGCGCCTGGAAGCTGCCAGAATGGAGAAGGCCCCTCTTCCTGCTCTCTGGGTCCCCAGTCAGTCGGTTGTTGGTCAGGCTAGTTGCGGCCAGGCTGGCACGCGCGTGTGTGTGTGTGTGTGTGTGTGTGTGTGTGTGTGTGTCCGGGAGAAGCGTCAGCCTGGGCTCTGGGGCCACATCACAGGGAGGTGAGCTATGGGAACATCGGGGAAGTCTGATTTAGAGTCTCATTCCCGCTGCCCTTCACCACAACGCAAGGACAGTTCAATGTAATATATAATTACCACCGCCCCACAAGGCTGCACTGTACACAGCTCCCTCCCGCCTGCCTGCAGACTATAAATCAGTTTTCAATCCTGAGTGCTACCTGTAAATGCTCAAGCTCAAGATCCTCGCCTCGTATTCCTGTGTCCCTGGAGGGAGGTTAGGGCTCTGCACAGCCCCCCTTCCCCTAGTCCTGATTCCGAATTGTTCCTGTCCTCTGGCTGAGGGAGAGAGGGGACTGGGAAGCCGGAATTGACTCTAGGGTCTTTGGGCTGGAGTGCCGATACCGCTGGGTCTGTGTGGCTGGTCAGACCTGAACCGCCTGCTGGAAAATGCCCCAGCTCAGCTGGGCAGGAAGGCCCTGAAACTGATCCCTGCCCGGACTGGCAACCTCTTCCCAGCCCTGCTGGATATTCCAGGAGGCAGGTGGGTGTCTTCCTTGAAGTGTCCCAAAAGACAGTGCGCTGAGGTGGAGTTAAGGTAGCCCAGACCATGACTTTCCCTTAAGCAGGCACAGGATATCCCCCGGGGTACCTCGAGGTGATGAAGAAATAGCAAGTACTTTCACTACACTGATCCTTTTTTGGGAAGAGAGAGAGGAAGGAAGGAAGGAGGAAGGAAGGAAGGAAGGAAGGAAGGAAGGAAGGAAGGAAGGAAGGAAGGAAGGAAGAGAAAAGGCCAGTGTATTAGCAAAACACTTTCTCAGATGACTAAATAAATAAAGGCTGGATGTGTAGCTCATTATGCATGCCCTAGGTTCAATCCCCATTACTGGAAAACAAAACTATACTATACTATTGTCTGGTTGCCTCTTTTTGAAGTTCCTACCCTAGATTGGGATTTCTGTCAGGGCAGGTGCCACACTGCCTCACTGCAGGTGTGTGGCTGGCTACCAAGGGGAAGCCTTAGAAACTGAAGCTAGCTCTGTCTACTCTCCTAGCTCAAGCTTGCCCTTCCTCGGGACAGCAGGCTCATGCCTCTCAGACTCCCTGCATGTAGAAAAACCCTCCAGCGCCCTCTCCTGCTCTGCCGGGGACTGAGGGTCAGTGACCAGCATTCACCACTACTGGCTGCCGAGCTCCAGGGGTGGAGCAGGAGGGAGTGTTCTAGAAAGCTTGGCCAGGCCCAAACCAGATACCTCATGTGGGCTGCAGACACAAGGTGGGTACAGCACAGTGAAGCTGAGGAGCAAGCTCCTCCATGCATTGTAATATCCATGAAATAAATGCAGATGAACTGAAATCACCTTCTGAATAAGCAGCTTTTACCGAAGGAGCTGCTTTAATCCCTAAATGGCTTTGCTGACAGCAAGCTGCTTCCTGGTAGGAGGAGGGGGAGGCATGGGAAATGGGACCCATTGGTTAGGAATCAACTTGGCCTTGTCCCAGTGCTTTTAAGATTCAGGACATGCTTCTCAGGGATAATGGAATTCAGGCATCCCCAACCTCGGGGTCCACACATCACTCCCCACCCCCCACTCACCCTCACAGTGGCTGGGTTTGCGTCCGTTTACACACACCCTGTGAACCAGCCCATCGTGCTGATCATGTCCACGGTCTGGGTGTCTAGGCTGCATGCTGGTGGTGGGCCACTGGCCTCAGCTGTGAGTTATCCTTTTGCAAGGACAGCATGATTTCTATCAAAACAATAATGGGCTGATGACATAGAGGCCCCGAGGCTCCAGAGAAAAGCCAGAGAAGGGAACAGAGACCAGGCTGACAGGACTTGAGGACTCAAAGGCCATGCTTCCCAGAAGCCCATTCCAGCTATGTTCAGGTTTTAAAGAGCTAAGGGCAGGAAACCAGAGGAGGCCCCAGCGATGCTGAAAACACGTTATCCATAAGCCGAGGCTGTCCTGCTGCCTCTTCCTGAGCTTCCATTCCCTGCTTCGGGTCTCTCTTTCCCTTCTAGATCCTCCCTCCTCTTGATTAGGGAATGCTAACCCTGTGAGGGCCCAGCCTTCCCCCCACCCCACCGCGCCCTGAGATGGAGGGAGGCCTGTTCCTCAGGATGTGTGACCTGCAATTCAGAGGAGATGGGGCACAGGGGTGGCTGGAGCATGCCCAGGAGCACAGATTAGAAAGTTGCTTCTTGGGGCTGGGGATTTAGCTCAGTGGCATAAGCACCTGCCTTGCAAGCAGGCAGTCGTGAGTTCGATCCCTAGTACTGAAAAAGATGAAATAAAAAAAAGAAAGTTGCTTCTTGGACATAGAGCCTGTCAAGGCTAACTGGCTTCAATTTTACAATTTGGTTCTTTCTTTCTTTCTTTTGTGTGATGCTAAGGCTTGAACGCAGGAGCTCTTGCATGGTAAGTGCACGCCTACCACTGAGTTACACCCCCAGCTAGGCCTCAATATTCTTTCCTAATTGATTTGAGTGAAGTTTCACTGGGGAAAGAAAAGAGCTCAGAAGCTCTTGGAAAGCCAGGCATGGTAGCACACACTTATAACCCCAGCACTCAGGAGGCTAAACCAGGAGGATCCCTGAGTTTGAAGCCAGCATGGGCTCCCTAGTTAGTTCAAGGCCAGCAGAAACCATGTCTCAAAAAAAAAAAAAAAAAAAGAAGCTCCTGAAACCTGTACATTAGAAGGGCTTCAGGATTCACAAGCAGGAATTCCTGTTGTTGGTAGAAAAAGATTAGTGATACAGTACCCCCCCACCCCCCAGGTTTCAGAGAGACTTCGGGCAGAGAAAAAGCCCCTTACCCCACTGCAGAAGCAGCCACCTCCTCCGGAGCTGGAGAGTCCTGGCCCCTTGGCCCAGCCTGCACATAGAGTGTTCAATAAACACTAGTGTTGCTGTGAATATTAGCATGATCTCCTGTGGAAGTCTCTGAAGGTGGTCCCTGCAGAGAGGGCTCAGCTCCTAGGACCTGGAAGTCAGATGGCAGAGGATGGGGTGCACGTAAAGCAGGCATGATGCTAAGAGGTTCAGCTGGAGGACCCCAAGAAGCAGGTACTCGGGCCCTGTGTGGCCTCTCATTGCCCTAGCCCAACCTCCCCGGGGCTGTCCTCCCTCGGCCCTGTAGTCTTCACTTTGTCCCAGGCAGACCCAGTGACCTTTTGCTCAAGTCTGCAAACATATTCTTAGCTTGTCTTGGAAATGAAATTGTGCTCAACATTTGTACAGGGCTTTTCTGCCACGTTAGCTAATCAAAGGGGGAGGGGAGGAGAGGGGTGGAGGCGCACAAGAAGGGGCCCGGGCAATGCAGGGGGCTCCGGCTTCTGACCTGGGAAGCTCATCTCACTCTTCCATTCTTTTTTTTTTTTTTTTTTTTTTTCGTTTTTATCGGTACCAGGGATCAAACTCACGACTGCCTGCTTGCAAGGCAGGCGTTTATGGCGCTGAGCTAAATCCCCAGCCCCTACTCTTCCATTCTTTTCTGTAAGACTGGATTTGCAGCCAGGTATGGTGGCACATAACTATAATCCCAACTCTTTGGGAGACTGAAGCAGGAAGAGCTCAAATCACAGGCCAGTCTGGACAACTTAGCATACCATGACTTGAAATAAAAAATTTAAAAAGATCTGTGGATGCAGCTTAGTGCAAAGGCCTTGGGTTCAACCCTGAGTACACACACACATACACAAAGATTGGACTTGCTCTAAAGAGGAAGTGACTCCAGGGGAGTTACTGAGTCAGAAAGCAGGAGAGAGGAAGCTGATATCACAGTGAGAGGTGACCATCTTCCTGAGGCCATCCTGTCCCACAGCCAGTCAGACACAGCAGCTGGGCTCAGATGGAAGTACAGTTTTGTATGACTGTGTCAGCCACCTTCACCTCTCCGTCCCTTGGGAGGAGGAGATAAGGACAGTCAGTAACGAGGGCCAGGGGGTCTGTCCGAGCTCCTTCCCAGAGTTACAGGGAACAGCACCAGCAGTTGTGCAGCCTGGCCTAAGGAAAGGGGCCAGCTTCCCACCTCACCTGTCCCCTCATCCTCAGACCCTGCTCTGCCAGTGGTGGGCAGTGAGGCAACCACACCCTGGCAGGCAGCAAGATAATTCCCACCCTGGGAGGGAAGAGGGACAGAGGCCCTTCTAGGACTGGGACTAAAGAAAAGACTAAAGCAAAGAGATTAGAGATGGACACTGACACAGGAAGCAAAGAAGGCAGATTCTGGATGAAGACTGTGGAATAAAGGAAAAGAAGCAGGCTAAATGGAGAGAATCAGGAATAAACAGCTCCCCAGGGTACCAGGGACATCAAAACGTGAGGATTTCTTCTTCCCAAGGCTCAGTCACAGCTCAGCAGCCCTCTGTGGGATTCTCGGGGAGAGGGGAGGGGAGGGAGCTGCACAGCCCTAGAGAGAGCTTCACCTTCCACCTCTGTGGCTGCTCCTCCCTCATAGCCAGACAGGTGTGGCACCCCTAGATATGATTTACAGGTGGGGATCCTTCATCGCCTGCATATCCTGTCAGGGGACTACAGGGCAGACACATCCCTAACCCACTTGGTGAGTGTCCTGTAGACCTGGCCACCCCTGCCCACCCTGATCCATCAGTCTGTTTGGTGCTGACTGGAGTCAGCGATTCTGGAAGCCTCTGCGAAGTCTGGTGGAGGAGGGCCTGACCTACCCTCACTGTAATTATCTGTCTAGTAAAAAACAGGCATTGAACTTCATAAAACCAATTAAGACCTCAAGGCCGGGGCACAGGAGCAAGCGGGAGGCCGGCAGCTCTGGTGACAGTGGGAGCCAACTCTAAGGATAGAGCGGTACCTGCAGCTGCCTCCTCCCAGCTCCAGACACAGGGACCCCTGCGACCCAGACTAGCACAGATGCAATGGCAGGGGCAGTGTCAGAGGCAGGGAAGGGCTGGCAGGCTGCGAGGGGCAGCGAGCACGGGAGCGGTTTCTTCCCTTTCGTGACCAGCAGCCAGCAGAGCCTGATTCCTCCCCCCACAGCCCTTTCTGGTTCCAGAAAACCTCAAGAGCTTCCCATCCGGTTACCAAGGCAACTGTAGCCCTGCAAGATTCATAGTGATGTTGGAGAGAGAGAGCAGAGATTGACAGGAGCCCCAGACAGGATGCCAGGGAAAAGGCATCCAGGGGCTTTGGGCCAGAGCAAGCTGCACCACTCCCTGTTCAGCCTACTCCAGCTCTGTTTTCCTGCAGACTGTGTACCCAGCCCCATGTGAGTGAAAAGACAGCAAAGAAGCATCCCTCCCTGTCAGGTTTGTATACCAGGGAGAGCTGGTACGGTCGCATGGCAGATGCTCGTCACCGCCCATGGGACCAAGGGTACTTCTGCCTTTCTATTTCCTTTTCTTTTTCCCTGCCTTACCCTGCCCACCAACCCCCTGAAGTACAGGGATTGAAATCAGGAGTGCTCTACCACTGAGCTGCATGCCCAACCTTTTTAATTTGAGACAGTCTTACTAAATTGTCCAGGCTGGCCTTGAACTTGTGACCCTCCTGCCTCAACCTCCCAGCTGGCATTAAAGTGCCCAGCTAGTTCTTCTTTTTCCTTTCAAGGTGCTCCCCAGGGCCTTACACATGCTAGGCAAGCACTCTGCTACTGACCTACACCACCAGCCTGCTCCTGCCTTCAAGGGCCACTGGAACCCTCCTCTTTCCACAAAGATTCTCTTGGGAGACCACGTAGCTTTGGGATCATGAGCATAGGCTGTGGTGAAATCAGACAGAAGTGTGATTTGTTGTTGGCTTGGTCATTTTCTAAGATTCTGTGACCTTGGAGAAAGTCACTTCTCTCAGTCTCAGTTTTCTTAACTACAAATGGAGATAATATGATAAATTCTCAGGATTTAATGGTACTAAGCATAGCTTGTGTTTGTACAGGTCCTGGCGGTAGGTCAGTTTATTTTATTTTACTTTATATTTTCGGGGTTTTTGGTTTTTTGTTTTTGAGACAGAGTCTGGCTCTGTAGTCCAGGCTGGCTTGAACTCCAGTGATTCTCTACCTCAGCTTCTTGAGTGCTAAGATTACAAGTGTGTATCACCATGCTCTGCTGGGTCAGTTTTTTAAAAAGATAGGCTAGTTCTGTTTTGTTTGAGACAGGGTCTCACTATGTAGTTAAGGCTGGTCTCACACTTGTGATGATCTTCCTGCTTCAGCCTCCTGAGCGCTGGGGTTACAGGGCATGTGCCTCCACTTCTGGCAAAGCTGCTAAATACTATCAACATTATTTCTGTTTGATTTTGGGGGGGAAGACAAGGTCTTGCTGTGCAGTTCAGGCTGGTCTTGAATTCATGTTGACTTTTCTCTCTCAGCGTCCTGAATGCTGGGATTATAGGCGTGCACCAACACACTTGGCTTCTGTTTGATTTTTATTATCATTAGGTGTGTACCTCTGCTTATGCATCTATAAAAAAGTAAGCATTATTAGATCTAATTCAACAGTGGTATGCAGATTGTATAAGAGAAAGCATGTGAAATGCTTAGGTCAGCATCAAGCCATAGAAAGTGCTCATTGGAGAGACGTCAGGCTGGGGAAGAGGCCATGGAGAATGGATAGAGACTAGTGCCTCTTTCATGTGGTAGGTTCCTGTCCTCTGTTGGCCCAGGTGAGGCCCTGTTTCAGATGTGACTGAGCAAATCAGACTGCTCCCAAATCCTCCCTGAAAACCCACCACTCCTCCAGGCATACTTTGGACTTTTTTTTTTGGTGCTGGGGATTGAACTCATGACCTTGCGTTTTGCCAAGCAGGCACTTGGGCCGCTGAGCTAAACCCCTGGCCCCTTCATTTTGGACTTTTTAAGATCAATGAAGAGGCTTCAGAACTGATCCTGTCTTCCTTGTCTGTGTTCTTTCCACAGCTCTGTACCTCACTAATCCAGCTGCACACGTGAGTGTCCTGGGGTCTGCCTACATGTCACACACTAAAAATGCAGCTGGGGAAGAAGCCACATCCCACAATGAGCTTGTGGCCACAGGCCTGGAGGAAAACAAGCCACACCCCAAGGCCCTGCCACCAGTGGGGGAGTACTGGTGCATCTCTTCACTACCCCAGGAACCTCGAATCAGAGGAACCTAGGTATCTAGCCCAATCCCCCGTTACCACAGATGGGCAGCCAGTGCAGGAAGCAACCAGGACTCAGTAACAGGCTGATTCAGAGGAACACAGAAAAATGTCAAAACAAAGCAGCAGGTGCAACCTCAGACCTTTAATCTACCCAGAAGAAATCCAGGAGACACAGACACAAAATAAATTAGAAGTTACGCACCTGAAATTTCTGAAATGATAGCAATTAAAGTAAAGAAAGAACTTAGTGCTTATATTGTTTGATTAACTTTGCATGCCTATATCTGGTAGTCTGAGCAACTATTTAGAGGATAACATGTGCAATATAATAACTCTTACTGATTTCCAAAGTCCAATATCATTTTCATTGTTTTGTTTTGTTTCATTTCATTTTTATTGTTTTGTTTTATCTTATTACCTTTAAAATAAAAAAAGATGAGGGCTAGGGATGTAGCTCCGTCGTGGAGTACTTGCCTAGCATGCACAAAGCCCTGAGTTTAATCACTAGTAAAATAAAATAAATGCAGGTGAAATCTCAGGGAAAATGGCCTGATGAAAGAGTTGAGAGCCAGCTGTGGTAATTTCAGTACTCAAGAGGCTGAAGCAGGAGGATTGCTTGAATTTGAGCCCAATCTGAGCTACATAGTGAATTCAAGGCCAGTCTGAAGTACATAAATAGTGAAACCTTGCTAATAAAACAAAAATAATTAAAAAACAAAAATGAAACAGCTAGGCATGGCGGTGTGTGCCTATAGTCCCAGCACATGGGAGATAGAGGGCAGAAGGATAGTCACAAGTTCAAGGCCAACCTGGGCTACATGATCTCAAAAAAGAGCTGAGAGACAAAGGGGAAAACCTACAGACCTAAGTGGCTCTGGAATTTGCTTCTCTTCAGATTTTCCATTGGAAAAGAATCCACTAACTCTTCCTCCCTAGAGAACTTCAGTTAATACTTCAGTAGTACTGGACAGCCAAGCTCACTCTTGGGGCCCTAGGGCATTTGATGAGAGTGGGACCCCTCACCCAGGCAATTCCTGGGGTTTAAGGGTGAGGTGGGCTCCTGAGACCTGGAAATTCCTGGGGAGATAGACTCAGCAACAATGAGCGAGTCTGGGGTTGGACAAAAGGGGCCAGATCTGATGACTCCCCTAGAATGGATTGGGACTGTTCCCTCAACTCTGTGCACAATAAAGCCTTTGTGTCAGTCCATCCTCCCCTTCCTCCACGCCAGTCTCCAGGCCCTGGGGTCCCTTCCCTCCCCCATTCCTTGGATAGACGGAACTGGGAGGTGCTAAAATGCAAGAGGTCAGGCTTTTCTTTTGAGGCTCTGTAATCTGACACAGACATCTGTCCCCTCCTACCCTTATACATCAAAGCCAGTACAGACCCTTTACTGGAAAAAAGAATTCCTGAGGGTGGGGTGGCTTTGAGGACGGCAGGGTGGGTGATGAGAAAAACAGCTGGGAGGAAAACAGGAGAGGACCTGAGGAAGTCCCCCTTCTGGGCCTCCCATCACTGCAGCTGGCTGTCCTCCCCCGCCCCCGTCTTCCAGTCAGGACTGGCCACATCCGTCCACCTGCTCAGAGCCCCTGGCCTCAGCCCATCCCCATTCATTCCCACGTAGGTCCAGGTGAGGTCACAGATGTGACAGAGAAGTGTCGCCCTGTTCTCGCCATGCTGAAGAACCTGTCGGACAGGCCATGGCCACAGCGCCATGCCAACACAGATTAACCTGGAAATAATCCTTTTTGGTCTGGTTGGGTTTTGTTTTTTAAGACAGGGACTCCTCGCTAAGTAGTGCAGCCTGGCCTCAAACCTAGATCAATCCTCCTGCCTCCGCTGCTGGAGTGCTGGGACTACAGGTGTGCATCACCAGGCTGTTGGGGATAATTCTGAAGAAAACTGAGATACTGAGCATCGTAAAGAAGCCGAACGAGGGTCTGCTGCTGGGGACTGAATCACACAAGGCTTCCCCAGGAGTCCCGCCCATCCCCCAGAAGCAGGGCGCAGGTTTGGTCCCGCCCAAGAAGTTTCAGGACAAATCAGAAAAGTCCTCTTTCTCTGACCAGAAAAAGGTTTCTTCTAGCTCTTGAACAGTGCGACCAGTTTACTTTCAGACTGACAGTTGCACAAAATTTCCACTGATTTCTAAGCCAAGCCGCAACACTAGAATCCTTTCCTGGGTTACCTAGGAGCGCCCCCTGCTGTCTGGCTTGTCGGGCCAGTTAGGGGTGGGGGAGGCGGGGAGGGGGGATTTAAAAGCACTAGATTCTAAATTAGGTTTGGAGGTACACACACCTAGCGCTCTAGGAGGCTAAAGCAGGAGGTTCGCAAGTTTTTTTTTTTTTTTTTTTTTTTTTTTAGGTTCGCAAGTTTGAGCCCAGCCTGGGCAACTCAGCAATTTAGATTCTGTGTCAAAATTTTACAAATAAATAAAAAGAGGGCTGGGGATGTGGCTCATTAAAAAGACCTAGAGATCAGACTTACCAAGAAGAGGAAGAGAGAGACAGAGACAGAGACAGAGACAGAGACAGAGACAGAGAGACACAGAGAGAGAGAGCGCCTAGCCCTTTATACAGCCCCAGAGCTTGAATCTGAGCTGGACTCCCCCGGGTTCTGCAGACTGGGGAGAGGAAAGTGTAGAGAGCAGTGCTCCTGCGAAGGGATCCTCTAGGCCACCACACCTCAGTCCTGCAGCCTGGTCTCTGGCATGGGCTCAGAACTCTAAGGAAGGCTGTCCAACCTGTAGATCTCTCCAGCTTCAGGAGAAAAGCCATGGTCCACATAGCAAAGCCAGCTACCTCCTCTGTGCCTAAAGGAAGCAGAAGCTGAGCCCCACTCAAGTGAGTCATCTGAGGGCTATGATCTGTCATCCTTGGATCACAGGCAGGGTCACCTCACTTCTTGGCAGCTTCCCCAGAGGCCAGGGCAAGATGTCCACATTTACTACTGACAGATAATGATGCTCATTTCCCAAAGCTTCCCCCTCTCCATAAGCACAAGAGAGACATGAACAGACTATCTATCTATCTATCATCTATCTATCTATCTATCTATCTATCTATCTCTATCTCTCTCTCTCTCTCAACTGGGTATCAAACCTAAGGTCCCAGCCAGGCATGGTGGCACACGCCTGTAATCCCAGCACCTGGGAAGCTGAGGCAAGAGGATTGCTGTGAGTTAGAGGCCAGCCTGGGCTACAAAATGAGCTCAAGTCCAGACTGAACTGCATAGTGAAATCCTGTCTCAAAAAGAGTAAACACACACAAACCAACCCAAGGCCCCATGCATGCTAGGCAGGTGTTCTACCACTAAGCTACATCCCAGTTTTTTCTTTCTGAGAAGAGTACCCCAAAGTTGCTTAGGTTAGCCTCAAACTTGTGATCCCCTGTCTTGGCCTCCTGAGTAGCTGGATTACAGGTGTGTATCACCACATCTGGCACTCAAGTCTTACATTCTATGTGAGACATTCTAATATTTCACAGCCCACCTCTAAGGCTGCCTTCCTTCCTCAGCTATTCACTTGCCCTAGCGTCTAGTTCTTTCTTTTTTTTTTTTTGTATCAAGAATCGAACTCAGGGCCTTGTGTTTGCCAGGCAGGCACTTGTGCAACTGAGCTATATCCTTAGCCCTCTGGTTCTTTCTTCAATCTGATTCAAATCCATCTTGCTGTGGTGTAAATAATGGCAGCTAGAGAAAGGATCTTCTTTCCAATCTGCACTGTGTCCAAAATGGAGTGGGATGCTGGGAAACAAAGGAAGGAAAAAGAAGTAAGAATAAGGACTGGAGAGATGAGATCTAAGTAAATAGCTACAAGAAATCCTCTGACTGGCATTGCTGCCCGTCATTCTCCCTCCAAGCATTTTGTAGCTGCAAGTCTGTGCTCACACTAAATGTAGGCATGGACACACATCCACACACCACACCCTTGGACTGTGGAGAAAACCTGGCGTGAGCAGGGTTGGAAGAGTAGCTGTCCTCTCTTGCCACATGCTAAGTTGTCCTCCCCTCCTTCTGATGCCCCCACCCCTGCCTCCAAACTTTCTTGCACCAGATCTTTGTGTTTCCCAAAAGCTGGCTCCTTGAGTGTCACTCCTGCACTGCTGAGCTGATGGAATGGGGGCTGGAATGAGAGGGAGCTGGTCATCATCCCCCACAGCGCTGCCCCCTGACTCCTCCTCTTTGATCACTGCCACCGCCTGCTGCAGGAGCAGTGCTGCTTCCTGCCCTGAGCAGGGGCTACAGGGGACATTTTTGTTTCCCACAGTGGGAGACACTTGGTGGCAGGGGAGGGGGAGGCTGTGAGTGGCAGCATCCCCATGGAGCCCAATACTTTCTGCCTCCCTTCCCTTCCTAATAGTAATAAAAATAAGAGAAAGCCTTCCCACCCAGTCCCTACTGTCATGCGAGCTTTCCAAAATCCTTGTGCATGCTGCCTCCAGCCCTGCCTTGCCCAGGTAGCCTAGATTTCTCAGACCTTGGGAAGTCGCTCCAGGATACCTCACAACAAAGACATCCGTTCTTGGAATGCAGAGAGACAGTGATGAATTCGCCCACACACTAGCAACCCACTTAACTCCTATGTCCAAATAATTCCTATAAATCACCAAGGATGAGGCTGGGGAGGAGCAGGCAAGTCTGTGACATCAATCTCCAGCAGGGATTCCTCCTTCAAATTTGACCAGCCTTGGAAAAAGAAACACCCAGAACATGGGAGCTTCTCAGGTGAAGCCTTGGAAGCCAGGCCTCACCCCAGCTATTGCTCCCCAGTGGCTCCTTTAACCTAAATTCTTGTCCTCGCCCTCTCTTGGGTCACAGAAGAACAACACACATAGCAGTTTGGCCACCCCTTCCATAGGTTTCAGGATTCTAGGGCTCCTGGGCAGGGTAGGGCTGCCTCCTGGGAGCAGTTCACCCCCTCTGGGGGCCAGAAGACCATATTCTGTGGGCCAGCACCCAGGAGGACTGAGGAGCAGGCAAGAGAAAGATAACAGATCTGTATGCAGTGCCTGTCAACTCCTTCTTTCTCAGATTATCTTAAATACTGCCCTCATGTTATGGATGAAGCACTGGAAATTCCAAGGGGCTGGCCAACCTAAAGCCACCAGCTAGAAAGAGACAGAACAGAGTCAAGCAGAATCTGCCACTTCCAAAGTCTGCTTTCTGGGTGGTCCTAGTAGGGCAGGGGGCCAGGAAGCAGGTGACATTTCAATTGCTAAGTCTGCTCACAGATCCTTAGCTCA